GTGAGTGTCTGTGAGTGTCTGTGAGTGTCTGTGAGTGTCTGTGAGTGAGTGAGTGAGTGAGTGGGTGAGTGGGTGAGTGGGTGAGTGGGTGAGTGGGTGAGTGGGTGAGTGAGTGAGTGAGTGAGTGAGCGAGCGAGCGAGTGAGTGAGTGAGTGTCTGTGTGCGTGCGCGCGCGCGCGAAAAGCTACGATTCACTCCACCTGTCACGAAATCAGAGCGCCTCCACGATCACCACCATGTCCAACGTGCTGCGCCCGCCACGAAATCTGCATATCGAAGTACACCGAGGGTGAGGACGCCGATCGGTGTGGGAGGTAGTGTGGGTCCGTTGTGATGTGTGGTGTCGAGGTTGAAGGGAATGAGCAGCACCAGGAACGCGAGCACGAAGTGAAGCTCCAGGTGGTGGGCGTGTATAGGAGGTGGAAGGTGCCCAGAGGAAAAATGTGATGGTGGTGTGGAGGGAAAGGGGATCATAGCAGCCCGCAGCGCACGTACTCGATCGAGGAGATCCACGGTAGCGAGGTACCGACACTTGAGGTACTTATCTGCAGCCGGCGGTGGTTGCGGCGAGGTCACTGGGGAGGAAGTCGGCACAGTAGCTGCAGGTTCAATGGTTCAATGGCCTCCGGAACGATACCATCCCGGCGCTGGTTCGTCGGCTCCGCAGTCAGCTTCTTCACCAGGTGTAGCGCGATCACGGGATCGAGAAGACTCTGGACGGCCAGTGGGTCGGTGTCGGTGACTGCGAGAGGAATCGGAAGAAGCACCACGTTCCATGGCGGGTGGGGCACTGAAAGGTGAAGGAACCCATATGAAACTAAGCATGAAGACATGAAGACGTCATGGCAAAATACGTGCAGTGGGACATGATGGGACGTGATATGGAACAGGTAGCTAGAGCCGGGTGAAGGCAATCCAAGCAGCGAAAACTGAGACCATTCAAAAATAAAATCACAAGGGAAACCAATTTGGTGTAAAGGCAGCGAACATGTACCTATCGTCTGCCGCACTTGGATGTAGTCAGAAACTGGAAAAGGGTCAAAAGTTTTCTTTTCCTTTTCGCTAGCGCGAAGCATATCAGGGCGAGACCATCGGCGGGATCGAGAACGTAGGCGGGTCGACCGGGTCGTAGAGGTCGAAGGTCGGGAATCGGGAATGGGAGAAACAAAGGTACGAGGGTCCAAGAAAGAGGTGCGTCCGCGTAGTTCACCATCCAGTTGTTCAGGGCTCTGGTTGAACGTGTGGATCAGGCCGAAAGTGGTCATCAATTCATGAATGTAGTGGCGCCTGAAGAATAGCGGAGTCCAGACCACGAAGTTGCACCTGAAGATGGGGCAGGTAACCTGATCCAGGAAGGGAGTTGATGTAATAGCCAAACGGGAACGAAGGATTCCAAGGGTAAGATCCAACAATCCATGTACATGTATAGGAGTTCCCGACGAAGGACCACTTGAGCAATCATGGTGATGCCCTCCGTCGGCGCCAATCCACGAGTCTTGAACAATTCGGCCGCTGCGGCCAAGTACGCCGTGCCAAAATGGCTGGCAGCTTTGACCGCTACGGTCACGTAAAGGCATGAGCCAGCTTGGAATTCAATAGTTCAGCAAGTCTTGGCAAATAACTTTGGCCGAAGCCTACTTCGCCCGCTCTGGGCACGTACATCTCCGGGCAGGCAATATAAAGACAAACCCCCGTTCGACGGGTCCACAGGGGCCACTCTGCGGGGTCACCCTGGGCTGGCATGAAACCAGACACACTTATAGACATGCGTACAGATTTGGTTGCGGTTTGCCACACGCAAGCCTAAGTGAAAAACCTAAGAGGCCAAGTAAGTGAAAAACGATAATTCCAAAAACGGTGAATGCAAAAACCTCCAAGGCCTCCAAAGGCAAGTTCAAGTTCAGGTCCCAAGCTCACGGAAGTTCCAAAGTGAATCGCCGATGCACTAGCCCTTTACTGCAGCAAGACGGAATGCAGAAACAACGTATTGAACAGCTTTTGCCACACTTAGGTTTTCAAAAGCAGGTACACCAGGTTGATCAGACCTGGCTTCCACTATCACACATAGCTTCGTTGGCATGCGTCTGCGTGATAGCCGCATGCCCCCTGCTGAAAAAGGAAACAATCCAACAGGAACCTTGTGACTCCAAAGGTCACACACACACACCCGGAAGCCGTGCTCAGCCCTGCACCTGACCAATCCACATGTTGAACTTGGTGAGGCCGCTCTTCCACGACTTGCTCAACTCACCAGGACCAGATGGGAAGTCGAAGTCCCGATCCATCTGCTGAAAGCCGTCAGGGCGGAAGATCCTTGGTGCAGTCATACGCGCAAGAACCTCAACGTTGACAGATGTTGACCGCCATCTTGAAAGGAATGCAAAGTGTTAGTGAATACATGACAAGGCGCGAATAAAAGTGAGCTTCATGCCCCAAGCGTGGCACACTAGCCGCTTCCCCTGGGGATGGACACGCCAAAGAAAAGGACTTCGCAGTGGCATTGGCAAGTTCCAGTGCCAAAGCCTCTGTCTTCAAGGTTGTAGGCAAACTGCGATATCCTGAAAGCTTCACATGGATTCACGGCCAAAGAACATGCGTGTCTCTCTGCGCCCAAGGCCCAAACAAGTAAGTCGTCGAAACAGGAGCTGTAATGTTTGGAGACGAGGCGCGCTGCACTGAGCTCATTTCAGATGCATTGTGGGAGTGTGTGGCGGTGACATTTCTATCCAAACCAGTGCAGCTGCGAGATGAACGGTGGACCAAACAAAAGCAGAAGGAGGCACCAGAATTCAAAGCGAAACTAAACAAATAGAGAGGTATGATAATAAGTTGATTTGCTCATGCTTGTTGTGCTCATGGCCCAATTTGCAGCGGGATGAACTGAGTTCAGATGACACGCACCGTGCATGTAGCGTAGCCTCCCAAACAGAAAGTGGGACCGATGGGAATTGTGGAACCCCTAGGGTGGGGGTTCAGTTAAAACGCTTTGTCACATATCCTCTCGCTAAGAGCCGCTTTTCGGAAGTGCCCGGGGCGGCCTCCAAGCAAAGCATAAGAGGGCGCCAACAAAAATGTGTCCTTCTGGTCTTTTCTCGGGGAACTTGGTGCCAGAAGTAACTTGTTCACTTGTGCCCCTTTTTTGCCATGAGACGGTCTTCAAACGAAGCGCAAAAGGGCATCAAGCAAGAATCTCCGACCCCCCGCATCTAGATCCACTGTGCCTTTCCACACTGCATTACCAAAACTCCTGCGTTTACCACCCGCAAAAGCAGCGGCTGGCTTCAATGAAAACGCTCGGATATGCATCTGCCATGTCCTGCATTGTCAAGGGTCTTATCGCTACCCGCTTTTCGGAGGCGGCCCACAAACAAAGCACGCAAAGGGCTGCGTCCACCTCTTTAAAGGTGCCCTTTTTGGCCTCGAGATAGCCTTTAAGCACACCACAAAAGCATTGACAAGTCATTGTTGCCGTGTCCCGCTTTGCCAGGAGCCTTCTCGCCAGAGCCCGCTCTCTTCGGACATGGCCCTTTTTGCCCCGAATCAGTACCTTGGTGCTAGAAACCCGCTTGCTCAGCCATGATTTTCTTCGACTCTGCATCTAGAGCTGTATATCGCACTAACTATGTCAATCTTTCCTTTCACACATGCCTCAGCTTCACGCACGGCTGACTCCACGAACTAAACTAAAGCGAAAATGCTGTGAATCACAGTATGTTACCGTACTCACGCTGACCAATTTGCCCAGGCACGCCACCAAAAAACGCGGTCATGCCCAGTTGATGATGCAAATGATGCTAGCATCAACTACGGCTGCATCACTCGTGTCACAAAAGCCATCGAAATTCGATTTTAGTACTCGCCATGTCTTTTTGCTCTCTGCCAGCAGGATCTGGGTTCACCCTTCCTAAAACTGCAATTTTAATCCCCCAACCCCCTAATATCTCGGCTTGCCACGCAGAACTTCAGCCTAGCCTGTCGGCTGGCGTTGGCAATAAACGAAGCGGATGGGATTCGGTTAAGAGCACGGCTGGCAAAGACTCTGCACCATTCCTTCTGGCCCACCTACCCACGGCACACCGCTTACGCACATTGGCAGGCACAAATCCAATGGAAATATTGAGCATCACGTTCCCAAAACAGCTGAGGGAGGTGAGGCACAACATGGTACATATGAAGCTGAAGGTTTAAGCAGTGGGAGGGCCTATGACTGCCCACATCATGAGTAGGGCATGCATGGGTCGAGACAA